AATGAGGTTATCACAACCTAAAAAAAAAAAAAGTTTCATTTACTTCTCAAGAACGTTTCAGACACTCCCTCTTGGGACTGTCCAGTGTAGACTAAACCTGACAAGCAGGTGCTGGCTGGTCGTCGCTTTTCATGATCATATTTGGTACAATCTGCAGTTGCTCTCGTCCAGCCTGCTTTAACACGACCACTAACATGATGACGTCAGACTCACATTGAAACAATAAGAACAACTGGAGTGAGCCAAGTCTGCAAAACAGCTCCAATTAATCAAAATGACTTTGTTTAACTTAAAAAAAGACAGACAATCTTTCACTAAAACTATTTTATACTGAATATATGGATTAAATATTTAAGTTGGTAGATTTTTTTTATAATACATGTACACATGCTACTGTCTTTGTGCTTGGAGCACTGACGTTTTAAGTACTACTGAATGAGGCTCAATTCTAATTTGACTTTTCAGTAATACTAGTTCAAAAGGAGGGTCTGTGTTAAGACTTGTCTATATCTCTCCAGAATAGTCATGACAGCTGATTGGTCAGGATTTGATTTTTTTTCTACTACCATACTGGATTTTTTTCTAACAAACAGCCAATCTTTCTTCCCATTTTGCCACCATTCTTCCTTAAAAGAAGAACGAAACTGGCTCCATTGTTGCCACTTTCTAACTCCTACCCTCACCTTTGACCCTCAGCTCTCCTCTTCTCCACCCTATCCACTCCTTTTGGCCTTCCATCCCCATCCCCCTTGCATAAACACATGACCAGGCATCGTGAGTGGACTTCCTTCAGGAAATTCAGGACCACCACCGGGGGGAGAAGCTCCAGAAGAGGAAAAAAAAGTCAAACAATGACAAACACAGACTTCTCCTGCTCACTCCAGCCCAATTTTGGCTATAACGCATTAGGACTTGCGAATGAGATGAGGGCTAGGTCAGCACAACAGGTTAAGACAAAAATGAAAACCCGAGTGTTGCTTTAGTGTGGGAAATGATTGTGAGCGTGTATGCATCCACAGATTGCAAACATGCTCAGAGTTATCCTTTAATACTTATGTAGGTGGATTTCAGAGCAGTCTTTTTGTTGCTTTTTTTTTTTTTTTTGAGTGAGAGAGGTTTCAAATGTCTACAGGCTTTCAACAGACTGTATAAACACTGACTCATCCAAAAACCATCAGAGGCCATTATACCCTTAACATGATAATCCAATGGAGCGTGTATTTATGCATGACAAATCTCTCATTTTAAGCTAGCACCCTGCACAGTCCACAAACCTCAGAGAACTTTAAGGATAAGAACCATGTTGGCAGTGTGTGTAGGTGGTGCAAACTTTGTGCGTGCAATCATAGAAGCAGAAGTCCAACCTATTGAACTCCGGGCAGTGGCCTCGTTTTATTGGCAGAGCCTCAATCATAACATCTTATCTACGGCCATGCTGAGTCATGGAATTCAGCTGTGTCCAATAGCCAAGCAGCAGGGTTACTTATGGCTGCCATTGATTGGTTGATCCCTGAGCACAAAGCTGAAAGGGCACATACCAGGAACACAGCCTGAAGCAGAAACTGGCAGCAGTTTGTTCACACTTTACTTTACTCAAACATCCTTGTAGCGGCCCCCCAACAAAAAACTTTTCCTCGTTCCTAAAGATGTCCCTTCATGTTCAGGCTCCACAGCTCTTGTCCTTCTGTTGTTTAATCGCATTTGCAAAAGAGAAAACACGGCCAGAGGTCACCATTCCTCTGTGGTCCTTGATGGTCTCAGTAATTTCAAACATTGTCAGCACTGTATTAATATTTTTTAAATATTAAAGTACCTCAATAGAACCGTACAGCCACCATTCAAACCACTGTTCATAACCATAGCCCTTATTTTTATCTAGAAATGTCCAACAATGATGGATTTAACCCTAACCCTCCCTGCAGCTGTCAGACTGTACAATCAGAACTGCTGCCAACAAACATAGATGTTTACATCTGCGCTGTAACTGCAATAAGTTAATCAACAGATTCGCACTACAACCTGGTTTGCTTCTTATCTGTAGTTATTTTTATTTTATTTAATAACTGTACAGTACTCTGTTTATAGTAACTATTGTCCTTAATGTAAATATGCAATAAAAATTGTGTATGTTTCTGTTCTGTGTCCTGTATACTGTTTGTTTGTATATGTGTCTTTCTGGCTGCTGTTAGAACCAAATTTCCCCTTGTGGGACAATTAAAGGATTATTCTATTCTATTCTATTCTATTCTATTCTATTTGTGTTGAACTTAAAAAAAATTCTCAGATCACTAATTTGTTGAAAAGGGCCAGTGAATAGAAATATTAGTAATACTTTCTAATCTTTTTGTTCCCTCAAAACAGGGTCATTTCCCTCGTACATAAATTGGTCAATCAGGGTACAGAGCTAAACTGGCTCTGGAACAGAACAGGGCCACAGTACAGAGGCCTTTATATCAGCCTGTGCCCATCTGCAAATCTGTAATGAGCAAGAGAGCCGAAACAGAGGGGAGAGAAGAGAACCTCAGTTCAACTGAGGAAGGCACACTTTCTAATGGAAATTCAGATACAATCATCCCAGAATGCACTTCTCTCTGCCTAATAATCAGCCAGTAGAACAAGGCAGTCATTGAGAGGAGAGTGACTGTAATCTGGTCTACCAAACTCCAAAGCTGCCCGCTATAATTAGCTCCTTTCTCCATCAAACACAGACTTACAGTGACTCGCAAGCAACCCTCTCTTGTAATACAAGAGGAAAGAGATTTAGCGAATGACGCGTTTTCTGATGAGTAGGAAAAAATTTTCCATGCTTGGCAGGTGGAGTAACTTCACTCTGACAGGTATGCAAGCAGTAAAACTGGAGCAGGTGCAAGTCCACCATTTAATTCAGCCAGCACCGTAGAAATATAAGAGTGCTGTGCTACAAGCCCGAGACACTTTCGCCCTATTGAAATAAACGAATCACTACTTAGCTTAGTGAATTAAGTAATGTTTCACACTACAGGGCTCAGGTAATTTCTAATTACCTTTCCTCGTTTTTTCCCCCCCTGGTCCACTGTTGAGAAAACAAGTGAGCTGACATCTTAGATTTGCTGTAAGGAGTAAGTGTTCCTATGCTGCTTCTATTACAAAGCATGAAAAACCCTGGATTTATCTGTTCACATAATATGGGACAGAACAGTGTCCTCATCAAAGGATGCATTCTCATCTCTGGCCTACATGCTGACAAACAAAGCCTGTTCTCCTCTAATCTCGGGAACATGTTCAAGCCCAGGACTCACAACATGATCCCAGAGACAGACTGACAGGGGTGAGTGGGTATGCTGGTAGCTAGCCTGCTGCCTGGGCAAATGGCACGGCTATTAGGGGAAGAAGATGCTTCCTGGAGAGGTGTGACTGCACTGCAAAGGGCCCAATCAAGCACAGAACAGAAGTGCTGACAGCTGCTAATGCATTTACCTGAGCGCAAAGAGACCGTCTTACCAAGAAAACTTTGCATACGAGTCTGTGTGCGTTTCCTCCTTAGTATGGTCTTCCTGACAAGGCTGATTAAGATCAAAGGGAGGAAAACTCATCAAAAAGCACATATTCAAGCACAGCCAGTAAATGTGTGCTTCAACCTACTTGCTTGAAAAGGATGCACGATACCAAAGGCACATACCCATTATCAAGGTTCCTGTTTTAAAATGTCTCCTTTAACTGGCAATGACACAGCAGCACAGACCAAACCAATGGATACTCTGTTTTAAGGCAACGTCATAAAGCTACACAGAGATCTCATGCTTTAAAATCAGCCATTGTCAGTCTTTAATGTAGAAGGATCACTCTTTGAATTAAAAGCACTAAAGTCCAGTGGAAGGACTCACAACCCCCCCCCCCCCCAAAAAAAAAAAAAAAAACAGAAAGAAAGAAAAGAAGAAAAGGGGGTGGCTTCCAGGGCAATGACCACTTTGCTGCAGGATTAGGCTGTGACACACTGGTGACTAGTCCTGGCATAAAAATAGATTAATAGTGTTAATTGTCTCCATTAGGTCACCCTAACCAGCCTAGAACTAAAGGACAAAGGGGTGGACATTCCACATTCAGTGAGCCAACATAAATATCCTCACCTGAGATTGGTGAGAAATAACTTGAAAGCTTTTAAATATTTTCTAGGAAGAACACAGCCTTTTGTGTTACAGGTTGGGTAAAGGAAATGAGGAAGTTAGTACAGGTACCCTCAGGCATTAGCCAACTATATCAAATAGCCAGCCCTGTGCAGCTTTGGCATTTACAAAGTTAATGATACATTCAATAAAGGTTAAAATATATTTTCATGAAGAAAACGTGGTATATTAAGACCTTAAACACGACTTAAATGTACGAAATTACAATAAACAAAGCTTTTTAAAACATTAAAAGTCTATTTTTTAAAGCAGAGTATAGTAAGAAATAAACTGAACATGCAAACATGCTGTGACACAACTATTTAACAATCTTCAGCCTCTCCCAAACATCCTATCTGCTCTAACCCGATTTCAAGTCCTGTTTGCCCCTTACGTTCAGACATAGCCTGGAGTTTCTCCAGGTCTGACAGACCAATGCATTCCAGGTGTTGTTGTCCAAACAATTGTAAGGTTTGGACAGGATCCATTTTTAAGACCCCCACCCCCCTCAGTCCCTTTCTCCTATATAAACGTCCCATTTAAACAAGCACACGTTAACCCCTAACCTGCATAAGAACGCCTTTTATTTTAATACACACTCGTATCATCACGCAGTCATTATGATTACTATTAACGGGCTTCAAATCAAGCCAGCCCCCGTGGAGGGGAGGGGGACTGGGGTTAACTCCCAGTTTCTTGTTACTCGCACTTCACTGCAACCCAAGCTGCAATGTTAGGAGAAGTAAAATCAGGTGAACGCCTTAAAATGCCTTTTGCCAATACTAGTTAGGTCTAAAAACTGCTTATTCACACTGACTCACACACACAATCGTGGCCGAAAAGCTACAGTCTACCTACCATATCATTCCCGTTTCTGTCCTGCTCTTGTCCGCTCCTTTCTTCCTCTCCGTGCTCCTCTGCGACCCGCAGCCGGGGAAATACTTTAAAAACCAGACAAAAACACTCCCTACAAGCTCTCACATCGATTATTTTCCGCCTTTTCAGTAAACAGGCTGTCTGTCCATTGCTTCCCACATAGGGTGTTCACTTACATCAGTCTGAAGTTTTCAGACACGAGATACATAGATGGTTTGTCTTTTCTCCCAGTCTGGAAAAAAAATACAAGTAAATTCTAGTAAGGAAAAGGGCAGGAAAAAAAAATCCTGCTCAACTTCAGTTTTTTTCACCACGGCTGGAAACGTCTTGCGAGGAGGAGAAAAGGGGGGCCGGCGTTGGAAAGCGCTGTTTCGGTGTGTTTTCCCTTCTTGGTTCACCACCACGTTGTTTTGACCAATTATTGTTTCCTTTGTTGTGTCAAAAATTTATAAAAAAAAGAGTCCACAGGAAACGCGACCGCAAGGATCAGCCTTCATTTAAAGAAAAAGCGCCGCTGTTGGAAGAGTACAACAGTTCGTACGAAAGCCTTGTGTGTGTGTGTGTTTTTTCCCTTTCTGATGTTAAGCCCCTTGCAGGATAAATGTGTGACGTTGTGTTTAAGTCTATTTTTTTCCCCAGCTTCCCAGTAATGGCGGCATGCTCTTCACAGAGAGACACTCTCGCCCAGCGGTAAATATACACAATTACAACAAACGCAGACTGTTTATGATACGCTGCTCACCGCCACACTATTAAGGCGTAGCTAATGGTGACTAGTAAGCCGAGACCAACAGTGAATTTATTTGAAATGAACCATCATAATACTCTTCCATACGTGTGTATATTTAAACTAAAAAAAATAGTTGACGTATAACATGCTGAATACATTAAAGAGATATTCGAAAATATTCGAAACAACAAAAAACACACGCACACAAAGGGTGACTATGCTTTAGCTAGCAACCAGCTACTTCTAGTTACTTTAACTATTTCTGTTACTTTCTAGTTTCATTTCTTTATAGCCCTTTCTTTTATTTTAAATTGAAGAACAGCAAACTAGCTCCGTTGTCCAACATGGACTTATTTGTGAGTTGTATCAAAGTGGGGTTAATGTCTTTAATGTCTCATTTTGGATTACTGTTAAACATGAAACGGTTATTTATTTTTTCTACGCATAAAAAGGAAATGTGTTTATATTATCATGACTGTGATTAATTTATTTTATTTTGGCCCATCTGCGTACATGGCCCCACAGCTCCCATACCACTTCCTTGCAAAACTGACCACCAGTTCCCTGGACAGATTCAAGCATTAGTTATACAACACTGTGCAAAGGTCTTGAATAACCCATTTGTTTCTTTATATTTTGCCAGGAAAATGGAAATAGGTTCAGCGATTTATTGAAACATCTGTAAGGATATGTGGAAATACAGTCTATAAGTATATATAAGTACAGTATATAAGGCAAAAACAAAGTTTGTACTATTCTAATGAGTGACGTCAGTAGAGTTCCCATATGTGTTTTTTAAATTTAGGTATCCTTTGACTGCGCTGGAAGTGTGTTTGAGGTTTGACTCTATATTTTTGTATTCAAGATTTCATCAGTTCCCATCAGATCCCTCACACCACTGCTGCTGAACCGCAGACCCAAACCATGACAAACACTCTACCATGTTTTGCTGATACTCTAGACACTCCCTGTTTTACCCCTGCCCTGATCTCCTCTACACACACTGATGATGATTTCAACTGAGAAAAACTTCAAATGTGGATTCGTCACTCCTGTTGCCACTGATCTTTTCTTCTTGTTCCCTTTCCTTAGGAATGGCTTCTTGACAGCCACCTTAAGAAGACAGGAACTAATTACAAAATGATTTGATTGTGACAGACTGCTAGTAACAAAAGTGTCTAAAGAAACAAATTTAATTAGTCTCTAATTTTTCTGATATCTGTTATGTGTAGAAAACCAGGTGTGGTTCATCTTTTCAGTTAGGTTCCTTTTTTATGGTTGAATCATTCATAGGTCAATACTAGGTGGTTCACTTAGCATTGATCATTGGCTGAGGACTTTTGCACAGAACTGTTGCTTAATAGATTTAAATAGTTAATGGCTGAATCATTTGTGAAAGATTTGTTGTGCATTCACCCAAGGACTCCCACCTAAACTGTTATTGAACAGCAGAGAGAGGAAATGTTTAATGCCTTTCCTGAGAAAAAATAATCATCTTAAAGGTTAGTCCTAATTATAAGTGTTGTTCGCTGAGTTATGTGCATGTCAAGAGTTATTGTGAAGTGTTTTCTACTTTGATTAAAGCCATTTTAAAAATTAAGGCAGAGAGTTGAGATACATTGGAGAAATATCTGCAGTGTTGTACAAGACAACAGCCTGTACTAAGAGCTCAAACAGATGTTTAGTGTCTAGCAGTGAGACTCTCTCTTGAAATTCTTTCTCTCTCTCTCTCATTCACTTGCTTCCTCTCTCTCCCTGTTAGTCCTTCCTTGAACTCTCAAGAACATGCAATTCCGATCTGGTAATCTAAACTCTGTGTGATATGAAAACAAATAGTTTGTGTGGCCGTAGAACTCAATTTATTGTTTTGAACTGGAATTTGGCACTTTAGGGGATATTTAAGACTAAACCTTCGTAAACAATAGAGGCATCGTGTTTAAAGGTTATTACTGTATTCAACCTCCTGGAGTGTTGGATAGCAGAATCAAAACATAGCAGAAAATCATTTGTAATAAAAAAAAATAGGAAAGAAATTATGTTGTTCTTACATAAGTTTTTAAATTGAAGTACATAATGTGCACTATGTGTGTCCTGACAAGCTTGAATTGTGACCCATCATTAAATACACAGTCAAACAGGGTTCAAGGTGCACTGTCCTGTGTTTGAGTAAGTCCACACGCTTCTGTCCAATTGCATTACTCACTAGGTTCTCAGCAATATTTGCATGACCCCAATCACACGGACCAAGATTAGCTGGGGTCAAAGTGTGTGTTGAATAATGTGCCTCTGTTTTACATCCCTTTCGCCTACCTCCACTTGTTTTTAAAACAGGCCAAGGTCTTGCGACTATCACAAAACATTGCTATGCAGTGCTGCTTATGCGTATAATTCTTATATAACCACCATGGCAAATTTTATTTTTATTTTACTCTAAAATACGCGACAGAATCAAAACACAGCTGCAAGCATTATACAGAAGAAAAACACTGCACTTTTTGTTTAATCACTGGTTGGTTTCCTCTTTCATTTTATTATTATTTTTTCCATCCCACTTTCAGTCCTCGTTGTATCTGCAGCTAAAATATGTCTCAGTCCCAAGGGCAGCGCATTCCTCCACTCACAGTTGTGCAATCCCTGACAATCACAGTCCCCCATCCCCCCCACCTCTGACTCCCTAAACACCCAGAACAGAGGCAAGCTGTCCAAGCTGTCTGGGCAATGTTCTGCGGTGAATTGGCTGCCCAGGCAGACCAGTAAACAAACTCTGACTCTGCAGAAAACAACCTCCAAAAATAATGTAACCTCAAGAGGGTGCAAATAAGTTATATAGGCTATTGCTACTTTTCAGCCTGTAATGAGTTTGGGTATAAATCTTTTGTATTCTACAAATCTTCCTTTTTGTTCATATGTCTTTATGCTAATTATACGCAATAATCTAATATAATTAAGTGGATATAAATAAAACAGTTTGATTAACTGTGTATGTGACAAATACACTATCACGTTTGGGGACTTTTTTACATTTAGTAAGTCTGTATGTGAGCAATTTTCACCATGTGTATAAACAAATAGAGCAGACAAAAGTCTCTTTGGGCTATGATGATGTGATCTGTAGTGAGATCAGGCAGCACGTGGAAGAGAGCCTGGAGAAGTGGAGGTATCCTCGGTAGAGAAGAGGAATGAAAGTCAATAGAAGCCTGACAGAATAGACATGTGTGAATGAGACGGAGACCGATTTAACAGTGAAGGTGACAGACAGTGCACAATAGAGAAGAAGAATAGAGTGCAGGCAGGGTGGAGTGGGTGAAGACGAGTGTCAGGGGTGATTTGTCACAGATGGATAGCGGCAAGAGTGAAAGGGAAGATATAGATGTATGGTTTAGAGATGGTGGCCCTTACAAAAAGACAGGAGTCAGAGTTGAACATCCTCAGATTTTCATTGGGAGTGGGACCAGGAGGGATAGGAAATCAGTATATCAGAGGGACAGCTCGGGTGAAGTGCTTTTGAAATAAAGTTAGAGAGCCAAGGGTGTGATGTTTTGGACATGTGAGGCGGAGGGATAGGTGATATATTCGAGAAAGGATATTAAATATGAAGCTGCTAGGTAGGCAGACAACAGGAAGATCTTCGAGAAGGTTAATGGATGTAGTGATGGAGGACATACAGAGGACTGGTGTGACAGAGGAGTATGCTACGCAAGGGGAGATAGGAGATGAAGGTAAACGATTCACTATGCCGACCCTTAAAGGGAGCAGCCAAAAGAAGAAGTGTTAACCAGTCTAAGAACTGACAGGAAATTGCCCAAGAGAACAGTGACATATTTTAAAAAATCAATTTTATAGTATTAGGATACTATAAAAAATAGGTAACAAGTGAAATGCAATACTTGTGAAATTATTCGACAGGAAGTGCTTCCGGTAGTTCTTTCAGAAAAGAATAAAACCTGAAACAAACACGAAAAACTACAAAAATATTTAAAGAGATGGGCTCTTTGCTTCTCATGTGATCCACTGCACGACTCAATACGAGACGCCACACAGGGATGTTGGTTGTTGTAGTTCTATATTAAAATCCATTGCTTCTAAATGTGACAGGAAAAACTACAATCCCATCATGCAACGTGACGCAGCCATAGTTTTGCCACTTCCTATTAGCTTGGAGAAGATAGCGGACGAGCGGTCATAAAATATCGATGTATTAATGTGAAAATTATTGCACACTTACTTGGGAACCTGCTGCTTTGGAGTCTCTAAGGTCCATATTTGGGAGGCGAAAATGGTAAATATGTCTCAAACGAACTATGTTGTATTTTCTTCTCATGTCAGTAGCATTTGTCGTTTGGTTGCTAGCATCTGAGAGTTCGCCAGATCGGCTATTCCATTCAGTGAGTAGAAAACGATAAGTTAGCTGGGACGCCAACAATTTTAAATCAAGATGTTTTTACCAAACAACTATCAGTTTACTGAAATAGATCGATTTTACTTTGCCGAGTTCTCCGAAAACGATGCTGTCAAAATGAATGGGTGTGGTTTAGCTAACACTATGTTTAACTGTCGATAAGCTGTAGATAAGCTAAGGGTAGCTACAGTTACTTGTAATATATCTTACATATTAAAATAGTTGGATGCCTAAACGGTAAGTATCTCCAAAGTTATATTATGTACGACAGCTACTAATAGGCAAAGTAAGATTATATTGTGTGTTGCTAATGAGTCATTTCTGGGAGTTTCATAATTCTGTCAGTGTCAAACTGCTTAATATTGGATGTTAAGGACAAGTAAAGAATGCCTCATTTATTTCTTTTTTTGTCTTGTTTCTTACAGATCCGCTTTATCCTCATCCAGAACCGAGCGGGAAAGACACGACTGGCCAAATGGTACATGCAGTTTGATGATGATGAGAAACAGAAGTTGATTGAAGAAGTGCATGCTGTCGTTACTGTCAGAGATGCCAAGCACACCAACTTTGTGGAGGTATGGGATTAGGCAGTGCCGCATGTACCCACATTTTCTTTTTTCAAACAATTCTTTGACGTGCTAGAACAACAACCTCTTTTCTCTAATCCTGTATAATGACACAGCTGGCCCAGCTCCTTCACTACATAGATATTGCAGGCATTATCTCTTAACATGTTTTTTTTCTATGTTATATGATAACTGAATGAAATTCTAGTGGAATACAACATCACATGAAAAGAGAACCCCTTTAGTGGATCAGGTTTTTAATGCTGTTAAAAAAAAAATCAGCATGAATGTATGCATACTGGGTGTGTTTTACCGTACCGTGGGAGCTTCAGCCCTGGTAAATCTGCTGCTGTTGTCATAATATGCAAGATTAAGCTCTTAAGAGGATTTTTCTGTTGTTCTCACAGTTCAGGAACTTCAAGATCATTTACAGACGTTATGCTGGTCTGTACTTCTGTATTTGTGTGGACGTGACTGATAATAACTTGGCGTACCTCGAGGGAATCCACAACTTTGTAGAGGTAAATGAAACACACAATATATAGACCTAGTAAGTGAGCTATGATAATTTAGTTGTCATGGTCTGATGGTTTTCAAGAATGTCTCTCAATGATTTTGTTCAGAGGCTATCATCCTTCACTGGCTTGGAGCTCCTTTAGAACTTCTCTGGGTTGTAAGGATTGCAGTAAAATTACATGTAGTAAAGGTCTTTAGTAGTTAAAGTTGAAGTATATACAGTGGAAGTGAAAAAGTAAAAAAAAACAAAAAAAACTGGATTACAAAGAAGCGGAGGAAAAGAATATAAATTAGTTAAGCATTATTATGTACAGCTAAACAGAATCCACATATTATTTACCAGCCTATATACATTTATAGCTAAATGCACATATATTTCAATATTATTTTTTAATCTTTACATAACACAGAGAACAGGAAGAAAAACAAAATCCCCTCTTGCTTCTCTCATTAGTCTCCACTGGTATTCTCAGTTTTCACCCTGGCTCAAAGCATCCCATATTCAGCAATTAAATTCTGCCATTTATTTTCAAAAATATCTTTATTTTGATATATTTCCTCTGCCCACATAATGATGCTGTTATTCAAGTATTTACCTTCCACATAATAGAGGACAATTGTAAAAACTGAATTGGTAGCAGAGATCCACTATGCTGTGATCTGACTTCCTGCTGATAAAATCTGCATAAGACTATAGAACTACAACATTATACTATAGAATGCCCTATTTTTGAAGCATATTCCCAGTAGGCAAGTATCTATAAAATAATTCAACCTGTGAAATTCAAATTTAAATATCAAATGTAGTTATGCAGATATAAACCCTTTCTTCCATGGCATACATGAGTCCAATTTTAAAAGATGATATGTTTTCTTTTTTATCTGTTGCTTCTGAAGAGCACATCATTTAGTTTTTACATTATTATAATATTGTTTCCCAAATGTGAAAGCCATTCTGGATTTCAAATAACTCAGGTATAAAGGATGCTTTAAATTCAGAATAAAGTGCTACCTGAATTTCTGCATTTTTAAAAGTCTAACTTATTCATAGTTTTTAGTGAAGTCAGATTGTTTTCTATAAATCTGACTTAGCCGAAACTCATACCACAGCTTGTATTTATAGTTTAAACTTTTAGCATGACGCTGTATTTCAGTACAAATTCCAGAACCTATTAAAGCTATGTTTACGTCACATTCATTTTACAGTCTTGGGTGTATCATTTTTGACTAGTGTTAGTGTTATACCATGCTGGAAAAAAATGTTATCGTTAAAATATTGATAGCGCCTTGCCACATAGATACACTGCAGTGCCAAAAGGCAGTATTGCACTATTTTATGACCTGGCTCAAAAGTCACAGCATGAAGGCTGATCCCAGAGTTTCTAAAAACACTGATTTTATTTTAAAGTACTTAAAATTTCAGCAAAAAATGAAAGGCCAGAGAGCATAAACACAAGAAGTGCCATCCTCCTAAGCCAACCTCAGGCATGGCTTTATCCAATCTCTGTCACTGCAAGACAAGTAGAGGTTTCAGATGGGTGTACCACCTCCCCTACTCAAAAAGGTTCTTCCAAGATCCCCAAATAAAGAAAAGACCCCTCTGGAGTCTTCTGGTTCTTGATATCCTAGATCTGAAATACAAATAGGGAAAG